GTCGTCCAGTTGTCTGCAGCAAGCCAACAACCTGCTGCCTCCACCCACCTAGGGGTGTCAAATCGGGTCAGTGAGTTGGGTTCGGGTTCGACCCGAATAAGGTCAACTTGAACCCGACCATTATAATGAACGAGTTAAAAACTAAGACCCAAACCTAGGGTTGTAACTAAACCAATGCACTCGATGAACAACTCGAACTCGACTCGATCGTGTTTGTTCAAATTAGTAAATGAACAAGTTTGAACAATTTATAAAAGCTCGAAGCTTAAATGAGCTAAATATGAACATAGTTAAACTTGTTCATTTATGTTCACGAATAAACTGGTTTATTGTTTAACAACTTGTTAAATACTCGATATTAAACTCGATGATAACTCATACCATATATGATAATTATATAAATTAAATTTATTTAACTAAAAACTTGTTTGTTGATAGCTCGTATCATATATGATATATAAAAACTTGATATTATGTATTTGTAGGTCTTAAAATTGTCATTTTTAGTTATTTGATAAGATTTAGGTTAAATAATACTTGAATGCTACACAAATTATTCTATTAAGCATCTCCTAAACGAGGGATTTAGGGAAAAATGGAGGAGAAAGGAGATTTAAGATCCTGTAGGGTTTAGAGTTTATAATCAATAAATTAATAGCAGAGATCAAATTTGTAAAATTATTTATTGAATTTTTTGTATGGAAATCTAGATGCTAGTTTGAATTTTTAGATCGTTCATTAGCTCATTTAAATATCATTCAATAGCTTATTTAAAAATTTAAACAAGTCAATCTTAAACAATACATGAAAGCTCAACATAAGCTCAAGCCGAACATAAACAACTTATAATTATACCAAGCCAAGTCCGAACTATGCTGACATATTCCACTCGACTCGACTTGATTATAGCCCCACCTGAACCCAAACATGACTAACCCTCTAACTCGAACCAGACTTGAACTTTCGTGCTTATTCGGGTTTTCAGGGAACCTGACCCAAATAATAAACGGGTTCGAATTCTCTAACCCAAAACCGAGTTGAAAATATTCAGGTCAACTCTAACCTGAATATTTCGAGTTGAGTTTAAGTCATGTTGGAGTGTCGGGTAAATTTTTGCACCTCTACGCCCACCGCCCACCAACCACCAACCTACCTCTGTCGGTGGCCTGCCGACCCCCATCTCACACTACCAAAGGACAAAAAAATATATATTTAAATACACTGTTTTCAATCCACTTCAAACCAAACAAAAAAAAAGTAAAAACTTAAGTTTATTTTACAGTGAATCAAACAACTTTAAAATATTTTAAATAAATTGTAATTAGAGTACTTTGTAAACCTTTTACATTATATTTTATTTTCAGCAAATCAAACGACCTCTTAATTTTTTTATTGAACTTTTAGAGTTTGTGTTCTCTTTTAAATAAAGAATGCACATGATCTCCCCTATTGGGAGAATGTGTTATATTTTTTTATGGTGTTCCAATTATTTGGTATGTTTAGGTGTCATTTAGTTACATAAGTATTGAGAATTTTTAAATATTCAAAATACATTATAAAGTTAAATCATGTATTGAAAATACTTTCCCCATGTTTGGTTGAGTGCAAAATTAATGCAGTAGAATACTTTTTGTGTTTGGTTTAATGTAAAATAAATTCAATATAAAACTAGACAATAGTGATCGACATGGCAGCATAAGGATGTTGACAATAACAAGCCGCAATATCCTATGGCGGCGATCGTTGTAGGACAAGAGGATGTGAACACCGATCATAAATGATGTTCGAGGTAGGACAAAGGCTGGTGATAGCTGGCCGGCCATGGCGAATGAAAAGGGAGACAACTAATGGCGCCTGGTGAATGTACAGGCCGCGATGTCCTGTGATGGCAATTGTAGTGGTGGTTTGGAGTGGTCTGACAATGGGTCGTGAAGACCGAAGGATGATGATGGTGGAGGTAAGACAATGGCCGGTGGCAGTTGCCCGACAATAGCCAAAGACAAGGGAGACAACCACTAGTCTCTAGTGGCAGTAGCGATAGCTTATAATGTATTTAAAAATCAGTCAATTTTAAAATACACCTTAAATGAACAAGATGTGAATTTTAACTTGTTCAAAAATTTATTTTGAATTTATTTTTTTATCAAACTAAATACCAACATTTTTAAAACTCCTACATTTGAAATATTTTAAACTCAAAACTCTTCAAATCAAACAACTCCTTAACCTGTTAAACAATAACATCAACCATGTCAAGCTTGTTAAAAAGTAACTTACATATGTGCACTCCTCTTACATCTAAGTTTTAAAACTAGCACTTCATACATAACTTGCCATGGTTCATCTTTTGAAGTGCATATTTCTCCCCAAAAAGATAACCCTCTTCATCCCTTCCAAAACATTCACTTCAGTGCCAAAAAAATTAATCCTCATGAGCATGCACACATTACAGCATATAAAACTAGGAAGATGAAAACTCTACAATCTCATCCACCAAACTTTTCGCTGAATGAGATGACACCGAACAGTGAAAATCAAGAGCAATTAGGGGAGATGTAACCCGAGTTCCCTGAATGTGTGCTTCAAGGGCATGTACTAGGCCTAATCCACCCTCAAAGCTTGCACATTCCCCAACCATTGAGGAAGTCTCTCAAATAATTTCAACAATCTGCCCCTCCTTGTTATCTCCAGGTTGCCTCATTGAAATTATTTTGGCTATATTCATTAAGTATTGCAAAAGTAAAAACACTCTACTCAAAAAGCTATTAAGGGAATCTCAATAAATCAATGTCACAAATATTTTACTCAAGAACAAGAATAAAATCCCCAGAACTGTGAAAGATGTGACCTCTGACTCTATTGATAAAAAATTCAGAAGCTTAATTACATTCAATGTACCATATGCCCACTCAGAACAACCAACAAAAAGTTTCCTTAAGAAAACATTTCAAATGAAGAGGCATACCTTCAAGGATGACTCAAATTTGGTAGGCTTTTACTAATAATTGTCCAAGACGCTCACCGGTCACACCTACAAGAAAAATAAAAACCTAAAAAAATTATAATATTGTACAGATTATTGTTTATTTTTTTATAAAACAGACTTACCTGAACCAAAGCCATGAGGTTGACAGCTTGACTCATCACAGGAGCATTCGACATAGGACAATTGATGGACATCACAGCAAGAGTTTGATGATCATAATCAAAATCAAAATCAAATCCAAAATCAACCCTTATTTACTAGTGACACCCTTCACTAACATCATTGCTCTTCTCACAATAGGTTGATTTGGCCCCTGCTCCTCATCGTCGATTTAACTTATTCACGCATATGAATTATGCTTCATTGCAACTTTCAATTAGCAATTTTCACAACCTTTGGTGCAGAAAACTTAGTTAATACAAGCAGATAAAGATAGACCCAGTGAATAAAGGTACTAAAAAGTAAGATTTGGAGGAAAAAAAAACCTCATATAATTTATAGATGGTCACAACTATTGATGTACAGGGATTTATTAAAGTGATAATGAAAGTGTTACTCCCACTGTAAGAATAAAATAGGATACTATAACTTATCACATTCTCTTTTATTGATCTATGGAAATAATAAATATCTCGCCTAATTCTTTTGCTCTTTTTATAAATCACTCCTCAAAAATACAAAAGAATTAAGAAATTAAATATATACCCAACCATACAATTCATATTAAAGGCAAGGGAATGTGAATTCTCAAAGTCACTAGCCCATACTTAAGGACATTCTATGGTTCGTCTTCATTGTGCAAATGTTGGAATGATGGAAATCTCCCTTAATCAAATTTCTGTAGATGCAATGCCAAAAACAATCATTTTTACAAACAAGCATGAAATTTTAAGTTGTGCCTACCAAAATCAAAATCTAGAAAAATGTTCCAACAAGAAACAAATAGAATTATTAGCACACAATATCTAAAATATCATGATGCATAAATAATAAAATAAAATATATAATTTGAACTTTTGGGAGAAAACTATAAAAGCTAGGCTCAACATGGGTAAGGATGCACTAGCCTACTCCATCAATCAAGAGAAATCTTAATCAAGCTCACCATGGGATCAATTGGAGAAAGATTAACGCAAATACAACATCTAAGAGTGACTAATGGTAAAATGTAGAACCTCAAAGAAAGTGCGCAAACCTGTAAATTCAAAATCTATGTGCATGTTTCACTATGCAGACAACAGGTAAAAGACACGATTTATGAGCTACAGCACAAGGTTGATGAGCATAGCGAGCACGCCGGCTATGCAATTGATGAGGTGTGGCATACAGTCGGCAAGCAATCAAAGTGCTTGCAAGTAATTAATGCATGGGTATGCACAAGCACATACTATTGTGTTTGTGCCGGATGAGCATGTGGGCATTGATGTGCATGAGGAAATGGGTGTTGGAGTGCGGCAGCAATGGCGATGTGAGTGTTGGGCATGCAAATGCATATGTGCATCGCAACAGAGGAGTGCATGCATACAGGAAAGGGCATGGAGTGTTGTCACTAACTCAATTATCTTTAAGGTTCATGAACTCCAAAAAACAGACCTAACCTCTCTGTTTTCAGCTCTTGCTTATCAAACTTGTATTGCTAACATAATATTCATACAAAATAGTATTAGAAAATAATACAAAAAATTAAATTAAATCCATTTATGTTGCATTCATATAATAATCTCTCGTATCAAGGTATTAGCATTCAATAATCATTGAACTATAAAAGCCAACGATAACCACTTAGATATTTTTTTTTTTTTTCAGAAAATGTGAACCAAAAGGGTAATATGCGTGATCCAAACCCCCAACCTCACAGTAGGAGATTACACCCTCAAACACTATGGCACCGATAAATGCACAATAACCACTTCAATATACATTAGTTTATATTAGTGCTTGTATAACCAAAACTAAAAACTAGATGATTAATTGCTATGAATGACACAGCTATTTACTCTTATTAAACATAAAATTTACAAAATAAACATTAAGAGAATCGCAAGTCCAAAATTTCTAAAAGACTTGCCTAAATTCCAATCCTCTGGCTCTCATCAACTTCTCCACTCTGTCAACATCTTCTAGCCTCCCTGCATCTCTATATATCCTCCTGAGAAGCTCAAAATTGTGCTCATTGTCTGGTTCCAGCTCGAACAATCGCTCAGCTGCTATCTCTCCTATGCTAACATTGCCATGCACAGAGCAAGCAAAAAGCAGCGACCCCCAGACCGTCGGACCACCGTCAAACGGCATCATCCTTGACACAAGCTCGTAGGCCTCCTCAACAAGCCCCGCCCTTCCAAGCAAGTTCACCATGCACCCGTAATGCTCCATGCCAGGCTTTATGCCATGTCTCACATGCATTTCAGCAAACAGTTTCCGGCCATCTTCAACAAGGCCCAAATTAGCACAGGCCGAGAGCAATGATACAAACGTTATGCCGTCTGGCGACACACCTGAATCCTCCATCTGCCGGAATATACTGAGCACCCGCCGGTCTCTTCTGCTGGCAGAAATAATGGCATTCCAGGAGACCAAATCCTTCTCCGGCATGGTACTGAAAATGAACTTCGCACGGTCTAATTGGCCGAGCATAGAGTACATAGTGATCAAAGAGTTGGCTACAGATACACCCAGCAGAAGCCCGCGGCGGAGGATCCAGCCATGGATCTCCAGACCCATGTTGCACTTCGAAGAAGCACAACCAGCAAGCAACGAGGAGATGGTCACAGTATCTAACTCAAGACCACCAACTAGCATTCTTCTGCACGTTTCAATGGCCTCCGCAAATAAGCCATGGCGGATGTACCCGTTAATCATGGAGTTCCAGGCGACGGGATCCCGATCGAGGATCTGATCGAAGATACGGCGGGCGCGGGCAATGTCACCGCACTTGGCATACATGTCGACGAGCGCGTTGAGCGCGAAAGGTTCGGTGGCGAAACCGGAGCGTACGAGGTGGCGATGTACAGACTCGCCATGAGGGATGGATCCGATACTAGCGCATGCTTTGATGACACGAGGGAAAGTAAATCGGTCCGGCTCGACACCTTCTTCCTCCATCTGATGGTAGAGTGCCATAGCATCCTCGTGAAGACCGATGTCTGCGTAGCCGGAAATGAGAGCGTTCCAGGGGAAAGCTGCGGTTTTATGACTGGGGGGCAAGTTGTCGAAGAGGTTGTGGGCTTTCTCTACAAGGCCGCTGGATGCGTAGAGACGAATCAACTTAGAGGAGATGTTGGCGCTAGAATGGAGAAGGGAGGCCGGGATGAGGCGGTGCAGAGCGGCTGCTCGGCGCTGGGAAGGATCGATGCGGAAGCAGAGCTCCAGGAGGGAGGAGAAAGTGGAGGGTTCAATGTGGATACCTCCAGCGAGAGCGGAGTGCAGGTTGAGAAATATGCGCTCGAGGGCTTCTTCGGTGGTAAGGGAGGTGGACGTCTCGGATATGAGGAGAGGGGTGGGAGATGACTTCGGATAGGGTAAGCTCGCAATGGGAACAACGCCATCGGCTCTCTGGTGGAATTTGAGTTGCTGCGTTTTGGTTTTTTTTCTCTTCGCTTTGAGATAGATGCGGTGGAGTGCAGAGGGAGGGAAGATGGCAGCCGGAGAAGGGCGAAGATGGAGGAGATTCATGCTAGCAGATGAAGCTGCTCCTCATTTTTCAATCAAGATTTAATCTTGGCTTCTCTGGTCCAGGTCCGTGGTAGTATAGGGTAGAAAAGTTTGAATTTTTCCCAATGACTATGGCGCTATCTAATCCCCCACCATCTTCTGCGTTCGCCTTGGATTAGTCCTGGTTGAATACAGAGCAACACAAGTTCTCATTTCATATTCCCTAGCATTGGCATCTTCAGTATAGTTTACTGAACTTCCCTCTGAAGCAGCTTGACGAGTTTCGATTTTCATCTTCTGACTGATTCCTCCAACCTTTTTTGAGGAATTGTTTTATTGTTATGTCTGAGTTTCCTAATTTTTGCTTTGAAAGTTCTGGGTATTTTCACCACTTTCAGCAAACATGAAGATAACAATTGCAGTGTGACTGGCAACTAGTTAGAAGAGATCATCTCATATGCCGTTAAATTTTTTGAAAATATGTTGTGCATCATGTTGTTATCCATTTAGCTAACATATTGCAAATTGGCGTCTCAATTTGGATTCATCAAGGTCCCTTTGTCACAATGCTCACTTCACTATTCATGAAATGGAGAAATTAGTACGTCTGTTCGTCGTCCGGATGGATTGCACCACACTGCACATCTGGTGGCATGGTATGATCCATGCCAATCGTTCACACGTCCGATTTACTGGATATAATATTTTTTTTTCCATTGAATGAGTCATGCTTCCCTTAGGCCTTCAAGGGTGATAGGTGTCTTTCGGGGTCTCATCGACTCATCTTCTGTATATTAATCCCAAAATAAGTTATAAAGTCAAACTTATTATCAATATTTTATTATGATACTTTCATATCATATTTCCTTGATTGATCTTCATTTCTACCTGATATCCCCAAAAAAAAAACTGATTGTTCCAATAGCCTGAAAATGTCTACCTAGATTTGATCTTTTCAAAGTGTTCATGAGTTGTAACTTATGTATTCTTGTTCTATAGCACAATGAGTTTTCATAATCACTTCTTTGCTAATGTTCATTTTTGAAAGATAGTAGGCTGTGATTATCTTGAAAGTTGGCGATGGCCTTGAGCTATAAAAT